GTCTCTCTCACATCAATGTTTCTCTCTCTCTCCCTCTTCCTCCCCCTCCCTCCTTCCCTCTCTTCCACTCTTTCTAAAAATCAATGGAGAAAGTGTCCTCTGGTGAGGCTTAACAAAAATAATAACAATAAGGGGGAGGGAATTAGCCCTGGCCAGTGTGGCTCGGTTGGTTGGAACATCATTCTGTGCACTGTGCACTGAAAGGTTGCTGGTTCGATTCCCAGTCAGGAGACATACCTAGGTTGCGGGTTCAGGGAGCGTACAGGAGGCAGCCAGTCAATGTTTCTTTCATACATCGATGTTTCTCTCCCTCCCACCCCCGTTCCCCTCTCTCTAAAATCATCAAAAAACATAAAAAAAGGGGGAGGGAATGAATACTCATTGAACCTATAGTACGTGCCAGTGACATCTCGTCCCTTCCTTCCTTCAGTAATGTCTGGTATTGGCTCAGCACTTACCACATGCCAGGTGTTCACTTCACTCCTCTGCAACCTTTTGAAGAAAATGTGAGCATTTTACAGATGAAAAAGCTAAAGCTCAGGGAGGTTAAGAAACTTGCTCAGGTTATATAAAGGTACAGACTGAGCTGTGCAACAAAGAGGTCACCCCAAAGAGCAGTGTGTAGTGAGGGGCTGCGTTTCTCTCCGCAGCCTGACCTGGCAGCACCTGCCTCACTGCTTCACTGTGGACTCAGAAGAGCTGCTCTGCTTCTCGCCATCTCCCAGGAGGCAGAAGGGCCAGAAGGACCCAGGAGCTCACACCCAGGAATGCCCTGAGGTTCCAAGGCCACTTTACGCCCAGCCCTGTGCCCAGAGCTTAATCATCTGACTAGCTGGCTGCAAGGGGAGGCTGGAAAAGTTAGGTTTAAGATGTGGCTCAGTACCCTCCTAGCCTCTGCCACTGTGGAAGGAGACAAGGAAAACGGGCCACAGCCAGAGTCTCCCTCACCTGCTGAGTCACACAGTAGAAGCTGTGGATCCTGGCTCTGGGCTCCCACCTGCTCGGCCCCTTGTCTGGCTTGCCTACTGCACCCGCTCCTGCCTCAGAAGAGTCAGCCTTGAAGAACTTGGATCAAGTTTGTTTACTGGTGAAGTTTGTTGATTGGCGAACCCACAGAGGAGGCTGCTGCATGTCCAGCCTTAAGCTGTGACCCAGGGATGTGTGAGGGGCTGTGAGAAACAGCTCTGTTAGGAGCTTACATCTGTGCTGGGACACCAGGTGGAGCCCTCAGCATGGCTGCCTGTGGAGCCAGGCCTGTTCCGGAGGCTGCTTCTGCCTCTGCCCAGGGCTTGGACGGTGTTCCCAGTAGTCTAGATGGTTTAGACTTGCTTCAAGTATGTGAACGTAGACTTGTGTAGATTATTGTTTCATGATCCTTTTAATTTACCTCCGCGTTTGTGGTTATTACTTCTTTTCACTTCCATTTTTTTGCCCCCCCCCCCATTTAGACATGGTCTCGTTTGTTAATCATGTGTGTTGGTAAAAGTTTGACCACTGGCTCTTTGGGAGAGTAAGAAAGCCTCCTGTTTATATCATTTGTTAGTTTCCAGTGCAGACACTTCCTTCTTGTTCTATTTAGGCTACCAGTGTGATGCCACTGAAGGTGGGCTTAGGAGAGGCACACACTCGCCCCTTGTGAGCAGTGCCTGCTGGGCCCCCCTCATCCACAGAGCTGTTCTTCGCAGCAAGGTGACCTTGCCCCTCTCCTCTCTGTTGCAGCCTGGATCTTTGAGGACAACACACAGGGGCCACTGTTCTAGGCTCTTTTTTTTTTTTTAAATATAGGAGAGAGGAAAGGAGAGGGAGAGAGAGAGAGAAACATCAATGATGAGAGCGTCGTTGATCGGCTGCAGCCCACAACCCGGGCACATGCCCTCACCGGGAATCGAACCCTGACCGCCTGGATCTTAGGTTGATGCTTAACCCCTGAGCCATGCCCAGCTGGGCTGTTCTAGGCTCTTTAAGTGCGTACTAGTCCTCACAGCAGATACGAGATAGGGATGCTGACTGTTCGAG